CCGATTTCCTCGGAATCGGTTCCTCGGACCAACCCCTTCCTCGGAATCGGTGGAGTCTCGAATTTTTTGCAATAATACTAGACAAATAAATTAATTTTCAAACATTTTAATGCAAAAAAGAGTTCCCCTTTAAAAAAATTTCGCCAGAATTCAACAATTCCAGATTCGTTCCTTCCAACACGCCGGCAATACGACGGAGCACTGGATAAATACGACACCCATGTAGATCGATTCGCCACTAACGGACCAACAAATCCAATTAACATTCAGGGAGATTTATCACAACTCCGGCTGTCACCAATCGGAACTACAAGCACTGGAAATACAGCTATCCAACCTGCAAAAGTTGATACGATAGTTGGAGCAATGCCAACCATGCCCCCTTCGGCTGGTTATCATACATATGCACCTGCTCCGACGGCTATCGTACCCAAAGTTGTGGAACGAATTCTCTCCCCTGAAGAGATCACTGGATCTTATAGACAGCAGCAAATTCGGCCGATCTACAACGAACGCGTGTATAATGGACAACTTCGAAATGTGAAAATCGATCTAGTCAATGAACAAAGAAGATTGTGATGTTGTTGCAGTTAACTTATGAAAATTACAAAATAAAGTTGTTTTTTGATTGCAAAGTATGTTTCAAGAAATTACAAAGTTGACATACAAATCATGGAAGATTACCAGTAACAAGAAATAGAGAATACATGAGGAAGATTGGTCGGATGGGGGGAGGAATGGATAATTCAGAGAACAAGAGTGATGGGACAGGGTTGAGACAATAAGAAAACAATCAGCAACAATCAGAAAGATGCTGATCGACGAGTGGGTTTCCTGTGAAAAGGAAATAACCAACTGCCTCTCCGACTACAATCGAGAGGATCAAATTCATGTTGTAGGTCATGACGATGAGCATGAGGGCGTAGGCCAGGAGAGCCTGAAAGAAATGAATATTAGATTGTTGAAAACACAAAAATGGTTATTAGATTATGCAGAATGGTAAAAAATTATGCAGAATGGTAAAAAATTATGCAGAATGCAGAATGGTAAACAAAATCAGTAACCAAGGATGTTGGGAATGGCTTTTTCAATTGTTGGGAATGGCTTTTTCAGCGAATTCAGCGAGATTTTGGGGTTCGCTGGGGCGCGTTTTTCGACCAGGCTTCCTGACACAGCGTGTGTCTCCCCACCTTTAAGAAGTCAGCGAAAATTCTGAAGCATTTCATGCCATGATTACCTAGTTCCAACGAGGAGAACACATTTTTGAGAAACAAATTTTCAAAAAAAAAAACTTAGAACTACAACTAACCTGAAGGCCGTAGAGAGCGCCCTGCGCAATGCGGTACGAAGTGAAGAGACGTCTGGTGAATCTGAAAATTGCGTAAAATTTTTTTTAACTTTTACGCTAAAAAAAAGCGTACCCAGACAACTGAACGAGCGGTGCAATGTGAACGGAATCTTCAGAAATGGTGTCGCCTCCACTATTCTGGGGATTTGTGATCGACGCTTCTGCGTGTCGCTGTTGTCTCTTTTGATTGTTCCAGACCGCCAAAAAGTAGCGGAACGATTTGATGGCTTCGTAGAGAATGCACAGAAGGAAGCTGATGAGCATGGATACGGCCATTCCTGGAAATTTATATATATATATATATATATATATATTTGAGCTTTCGTTGTCAGAAAACTCACCAGACAACGACCCAGTTTTCCACCAGCTGAAGAGAATCTTCTCTCTTTCGCCGAAATGGAGAGTCATATCCATATCCATAAACTAAAAATCAATAAATTTGAGTTGTTATCAGCAAGAATAAAACTGAAAGAGCACACGGTGACACACTTGTCTAGCGAGGTCGGTGATTAGATAGCAGCTGTTTGTTTACATTCAACGAGCCTTGTCAGCTGAAGTTGAGGAGAGAAAAAAGGTGTTCCGAATAAAAATAAACAAAATATGGGGAAAAGGAGTGAAGAATCAATCGGAAAAAGTTTGGTTTGGGGTAGGCGAGATGAGAGGAAAACGCAAAATGTTCGAATTATTTTTATGATGTAGATTTACGGCCGGACTAGCTGTCTGCGTCTCTCTACTTCATCATGGGCAAGCGCTCACTCTCCGTCTTCTCTGACCATGAGAACAAGGCTGGATGGAATGTGAGAATTGGGAAAAAAGATCAATGAGGGTGTGGTGGGGAAAAATTCGTTTGCATCGAAACTTTCGATTCGAAAGTCAATTAACTTTGATTGATTTGAGATGGGGTAAGACAGAGGTCAAAGAATGTTCTCGAAGTGATACCCGATGTATCAAGAATACTTCAAAAAGTTGTTGCTTCCAAGATTGATCAAGTTTAACTCAAAATATGCATTTATTTGAAATTATAAGCATAACTCAGGGAATTTTCCGGCAAGTTGCTGCCCAATATTAGCAAGTTGCTAAGCCGAAAAAAAAATGCTTGCCGCTGACAAACGGCAAGCCGTTTTTTCGGGTCAGCAACTTGCTGTTTTATAAAGCAAGTTGCCGTTCTTCGTGAAATCTAAATGGCAGCTTGCCGAATTAAGAGCGTTTTTTTTCTCATAATTTCGAAGTGGACATATTTATTTAGGACATGTTTATTGAGGAAACAGAGTGAGAAAACAATAGTAGGAAAAAAGGAAGTCAACTATAGGTGGAGGGTACAAAGTAAGGGAGATTGGGGCAACAATATTCAAATTAAATCCGAAAATTTTTCCATGAATTTGAGGAAGTTTCTTGCAAATTCGTAGGCATTACTTCGCATTTTGAGTTTTTCTAAATGTGTATCTTAAATTTCCATCAACTTCGACATTCAAGAAAAATTTCGACGTTCAATTATATTCAACGTTTCGCATCACGAACGATTATAGCAGAGGGTTCTCACGGAGTGGACTGTATGCAAATGCAAGAACTTCTGAAAATAAGATTTCATGAACTGCTTGAGAAATGTTTCTTACTTTGTAAAAAAATTTCGAAATGCGATTCAACTTCATATCAGGCTTGTCGCATAGGTTGTGAGAAATAGTGTGATAACCGAAAAAAAAGCTCTGAAGATTGTTTTTGAAGGTAGCAATTCACTGTGTCGATGCTTCAATCGTTCGCTTTTTCCAGTTGTTCTTCGATATTTAACTTGATAAAACCACTCGTTCTTTGTGGATCGTATCATAATGATACTTTCGAACTTCGATGACTATATCGTAGAAAAATTATAACATTTTCTGACGAGCTTTGGATATATATAATTCGACTTTTCCCCAATTTCTTGTTCCTCGGTGATCTTAGTCCGAGCTGTCCAAACCTTAAAAGATATTAATTTTTCTAGCAATATACATTTCTAATATTACCTTCAAGCTTTCCTTTCATTTCGTTGTGAAGATAGTTTGAAATACAATAGAATCAAGCAAAAAATAGGATACAATAGGACAAAATAGGACAAAAAGAAAACTAATAATTCGAGAACATTTGAATGTCATCTGAACGCAGCAAGAGATCGGCAACTTGCTCTTTTCACGGCAAGCAAATAGCAACTTGCTAAAACTGTTTCATGCATGCGGCAACTTGCTGTTGTACCACCCTCTTGAAACAAGGTCAGCAAGCAGTAGCAACTTGCTAATTCATCCAGCAACTTGCCAAATTGCTCGCAACTTGCCGTTTGCTTGCCCGAAATTTCCTGAGAAAATGCTTGTAGTCATGTGCATACCATCATGTAAAGATAGCTAGGACTACATTTGCAAAGCTCATTTAGATTATAGAGAACAGGAAAGCACTTTTATCTCTTTGTCTTCCGTTCGAATTATCATTCTGATACAGAAAATGGAAGAGAAACTCCGGTGGCCGTGGTGTAAGATCCCACAACGACAACTACCGTAGTCTGAGAATATTTGAACTTTCCTGATTTACTTGCTGGATTCGCAAAAAAATTGACTTTCAAAACTTTCCGAAAAAAACACTGCAGTGTGTGGAAGACAAACGCCGGTGCCCGTAGTAAATGGTCCCAAAACTATAACTAGCGTAACCTAGAATTTGTATTTATTTTTGTATTTATTTTCTCTCTTGTCACGGTTGTGTTTCCTGTTGCTTTTCCCTAAACAAGTCGAAAAACAAAAACTGAAAACGCATGGAAATCTAGATAAAAAAATTCGAAAAATTGAATATTTTTAGGTTACTGTAGTTATAGCTGTGGGACCTTTGGCCACGGCTACCAGTGTTTCTCTTTCACAGCTCCGATTTTTATGTACCAGAATAATAGAAGAGACTACGGTAGATTACTGTATGAGTACCTTCAAATCATAGCTTTCTCGAACACAATCTCGTAAAACCGCAAACAGAAAAACAAAATTTTTTGATGATACTTTCTCAATTGTTCCCTTACTTTCCAGATAGTTTCTCTCATCAAACAGGTCTAATTAAACAAAGATAATCCCGACTGTATCCCGTCTGTTGCTCAGAACAATTGTTTTTGTAGGTGGCTTGAAGGGCGGCACATGTTTCTTATTCTTACCATTAGTGCAATGTTTGCTCAATTCATTAGTTGTTGCTGGGGCCATTAATATCCAATCCCAATCAAAAAGAGGAGATGTCTGTCAAAAGATTACGAAAGGAGCGACAACGTGTTCACCAGATGTACTCATCCATCCACTAATCCCTCGCCGTACAGTTTTTGAAAATTCGTTTATCGGCTTGCCGCGGCGGTCCTCACCTGGCTACACGGGTTCAAGTGGGAATCAAATCGAATGCTTTTGAAGAATCTTTGATGGGGGTCATCAAGGTTCCCGCATGTTCTATTAATTCATTATGTTATACCGAAAAAATAGCTCGATATTATGTACATTTAATCGGATGAAATACCGTAAACACTAATAGAATGACACCAAAAAAACTTTCAACGTTTAGCCAAGTTATCTCGGTACCTGTGAGAGATATCAAAAAGTAGTAAACTGACAAAACGATTCTAATTTTATGATAAACATTTTGCTAATTGACCGTTTTGTGGTATCTTTCACAGCAACCGAGATAACTGAGCTCACAGTGAAGAAGTAGAGTGGCGTTCTATGAAAAAAAGCATTCAAAATTTCTTAATGGAAATTTTAAAAGAATTTTGAAGCTCTGAAAAAAAGATAAAAGTTAAATATCTTTGAAATTTCCAGGAAAAAATGAAACAAGATACCGTAAACCTGTAATACAAGAGCTTCCACACTGTCAACTTTCAGCCATCTTATCTCGGTTTCCGTCCACGACATGGAAACGATGTCAACTGATGAACTGTTTATCATAATATCATAAACATTTCATCAGTTGACACATTTTTTTTATTTGTCACAGTAACCGATATAAATCACTCAAACTTGACAGTGAGGGTGTCCTTCTATTTCATACCAGTGTAAAAGGCTTTGAAATTGACACAACCTCAAAATGTTCTAAATATTTGAAAAAATGGAATTTTAGGAAATATTTAATTTTATGAGAACTTCTGTAATTGAATGTAATGAAAAAAAGAAAAAAGATGAACATTGAACAAAGATGAACATTCATGGTTTTTTGGCTCCAAACAACATACCGTAAGAACTAACATAATGCTACCCAAACTTTCAACTTTGAGCTCATATATCTCATTCCCTATAAGAGATATCAAAAAGTGGTCAACTATTAAAATAATTAATAATAAAATAATTATAATATCAGAAACATTTTGTTAGTCGACCACATTCTTGTATCTTTTACATGAAACGAGATACATAGGCTCAAAGTTAGTTGACAGTTCGGGTTAAAAAACAACGATAATATCTTTTCTGTGTGATAATATAACTAAATGTTACAGAAAAATCCCATCCTCATGCGATTGAAGTTCATCAGTTCTGGTTACGGTCGACGGCGATGGAGCTGACCCAATCGAATCAAAAATTGAAAACCCATTCCATTGCTCATGCTTGTTTTCATAGTTAAATTCATACCAATTTTCGCTCAAAACATCTTCTCATTAAATCTTGTTTTCATTTTCAAAACAAACTATACAGCTTTTCGTACAAATAATTAGCTCGATGAGCCGCCACCGCCGCCACGGACAAAACATCGTGTTCCCAGTTTGTGGTCAATTAGGAGCTTCAATACGACACAGCGATGCTCAATACGGTAGCAAAATCCGTCAATTAATTAAAATAATTGCTGTTGTTGTAAAGTAAAGTGTGAGGGTGGTAGGATGTGGGTGTATGATGGAGTAATAATTCTGAATTATTGCTCACCCCAGGATACTTCTCTTTTCGGTGGCTCAAGAAACAATAGATAAGTCAGAAGGTGTCAAATGTTCAAAGTGCCCATGGGGTCTATGGCATGGGGTAAGAGCGATAATAAGGTGTGAATGCTCAAAACGGAAGCAACTTGTTCTTTGTCTGATTCTGATGACGTGGCAACTTACACAGTAGGTGAGGGTCCCCCACTCTTTCCATTAGTTTTCGTCAAGAAGTATGTCTCTACTAAAAATAATAAGTTAAAAGCCTCCTTCTAGCCGTCTATAATGCAATAATAGTCTTCTTCTTTTACTCAATTTCTTCGTTTAGTTCGTTTAGGTCCTTTTTCCCGTCTTCCTTTAAAAGAAGATGTACAGTGATAGGGACGGGGAAACAAGTTGTTAAAAGTGGTGAACATCTGTGAGACGGTTCAAATTGCTCAGTTGCACAATGACTATTATCCTCGGGGCGACACAACTCAACATGTTCACACTTATTATTATGGGGATGTGTCTTCTTTATCGTATTGTATTATTGTAACACAAACACGTAATTAGAGAGTGATGAGAGGAAAATAAGAAGAGTGGTCGATAGAAGGTGATGAGAAAGAACATCTGGTTGATCGGAAATGTGTGTTTCAAGTTCAGTGGAGGGTACAGGAAATTACAGTACACATTTCAAAGTTGGGAAAAAAGGCTCTTGATCTTGTCAGCTTACAAAACTATACAACAAACCGTCTATGATATGATCTCCTAAAAATGAAACACTCTGCACACCTTATAAGCCCACCCTGTAACCCACCGTTAACGTGAATTTTAAGCTCAATTATTAGGTTGGCGGGAAAGTCTTTGTCACTCTGTTTGTTTAATCACTGTTCTCGTATATGGAGGCTGTGTATGATATCGACTCTAGTGAATAACAAGGTGATAAGAACCTTCCATATAAACAAGTCCCCATTTCCTTCCCTGCTCCTCATCTGTAATTGAAACGATATGTTTGTTCCCACTGCTATTCACATCAGACATGTTTTGATTTACCTCTTCCTATCTCACACCACGATGAAGGATTCGGAAACTTTCTTGAAGAATGTGTACAACACACATGCCCCTCACTACAATACTATTCGCAATTGGTTCCATCGTTTCGAAAAAGATGACTTCTCGCTCGATGAAAAGGATCGCTCTGGGAGACCCCGTGAGTTGGATTTGGACAAGCTGAAGCACGCATTGCAATCGGATCCATTTCAATCTAGCCGTGAACTAGCTGTCACATTCGGAGTTCACCATAGCACAGTCCTTGAAGGTTTGAAGTCTCTTGGAATGAGAAAACTTTTTGGTCGATTCATACCTCATCACCTGACTCAAGCCAACCTTGACCGCCGAGTCGACGATTCGATTACTCTTCTCACTCTCCACGCGGGCGATCGATGGCTGGACCGGCTAATAACCGGAGATGAGAAGTGGGTCTTCTACGATAATCACCACAGGAAATCCCAGTGGGTTGGAGAAGGAGAGAGCCCACAGGATGTCCCCAAACCCGACCTTCATCCGAAAAAAGTTATGCTCTCTGTGTGGTGGGGAGTGGACGGCCCCATCTACTGGGAACTTCTGCCCGAGGGCAAAACAATAACTGGAGACCTCTACACTACTCAACTACGAAACCTCAAGAAAGCAGTCGACCGTTCGGCCCTGAAAGACAAGAAAGTGTACTATCAACATGATAACGCTCGCCCACATGTTTCGAAACAAGTGAAGCAGGAGCTGATGGGATATGGATGGAATGTTCTCCCTCACCCCCCGTATTCTCCTGATCTTGCTCCTTCCGACTATTGGTTATTGGCGATATGACACGTGCCTTCGAAGGAAGAAGCTTCAATTCCCGTGGAGCGGTCGAAGCGGCACTCAAACAATACTTTGCCTCACGCCCGGCTGGATTCTACCGCAATGGAATCCATAAATTGAGGGAACGTTGGAGACATGTTGTTGATAATGATGGACAATATAATTAATTATTCGGTTATTTTTTCTTTGAGAAATAAACTATTGAAAAAGTGACAAAGACTTTCCCGCCAACCTAATATCTCAGTTTCTTTTTTTTAATATCTTTTACAGGAACTGAGATTTGTGACCTCAAAGTTCAAACATGCTCTTTAAGCTCTATTATCTCGGTTCATTTGAGAGATATCAAAAAGTGGTCAACTGATAAAATATTTTTGGTATATTTATAAATATTTTGTCTGTTGATAACTTTTTAATATCTCTCACAGGAAATGAGATATATGAGGTCAAACTTGACGACTAGGAAGGGGTAGTTCTTTTAAAGGGGGACTCCGACCAAAAATTTTTATTGCCCTGTTTGAAAAAATATGTATTTTCCTAATATTATTGCGAGAAAATTCAAAAGAAAATCCTAAATCCCTGAAAAACGGCGTTGAAAAAAAAGGATTTGAATTCCCGCGCAGTGAGAAACCTAGGCCACGGCATCACAGCGCCTTTTTTACATGGAAATTTTTCCGGATTTTTACGGTGTTCATGTCCGGCAGGTTAAAAATGTAAAAAACCACT